CCTGATTTCAAATCCTACTACACTGTCGTAGTGGTAAAGACAGCATGGTACTGGTACAATGACAGACACCTAGATCAATGGAATCGAATTGAGAATCCAGAGATCAACCCATCTATCTATGGTCAACTGATTTTTGACAAGGTTACATGCTTCTTAATTAATGGGTTGAACAAAGAAATCTTTAAGACTGAAAGTCATAATGTAGTATCCAAAATTAAAGGTTGCAAGGGTTCAAAAGCTCTTTCACGGTGCAAAATTTTACTCTTAACTTTGTTGTGTTAGGTGCCTTCAGGTCAACTACAACTCCTAACAACCCAGTGAGCAGTAGATCTGAATCTTGCCTGATCCTGTGGTGTCCTCACAGTCTCTGACATGTTTGAGTCTATTGCTACAGTCACTGTGTCTGTCCCATCTTGTTGAAGATCTTCCTTTCTTTCTTTGACTCTACCATTCCCAGCATGATGTCCTTTTCCAAGGACTGGCCACATGACAACACGTCCATATAATGTGAGACCAGATTTCCCCATCTTTTCCTCTAAGGAAAACCCTGGTTGTGCTTCCTCCAAGACCTATTTGGTTTTACTTTGGTGGTCCATAGGATATTCATTATTCTTTTCCAGCACCACAGTTCAAAGACACCATTTCTCCTTCTGCCATCCTTATTCATTGTCCATCTTTAAGATGTATAGGAAGTAATTTTAAAGACTGTGGCTTAGATCAGGTGCACCTTAGTCTTTGTATTGGCATCTTTGTTCTTTAGCACATTGGAGAGGTTCTTAATAGCAGATTTCCTCAATGCAGTGCATCTTTTAATTCCGTGATTGTTGCTACCATGGGTATTGATTGTGAATCCAAGTAAAATGAAATCATTGTCTTTGGTAAAAATACTTTTTGTTACTAATTAAAGAAGACTAAGTGGAACACAGGTGGCCTACTGGCAAGAAGCTGCATTGCAATCCCGATGGCATGTGGGTCCAATCCACCTGCTGCTCCATGGGAGGAGGATGAGCAGTCTCCCCCTGTGTGATTAACTGGAACCCCGCCAGTCAGCTGTGAGTCAGTTCTGACTCAATGGTTGTTTGTTGTTGTTATGTGCCATCGAGTCGCTTACGACTCATAGCGACAAGAGCTCTAAACGCCATTCTATCCTGTGCCAGCCTCGCCGTCTCAAACACACTCATTCCCACCACTCCACTCACAGAATCGATCCATCTCATTGAGGATCTTCCTCTCCACTCTCCCAAACATGATGTCCCTCTCCAAGGACCAGTCCCTCCTTGCAACATGCCCGAAGTATGTCAGTGAGTCAGTGGTACGCAACAAAAAAACCAACACGGTTAGATTTAGCCCTTTCTCCAGTACTTTTTTCCTATTTAAAAAGTAGAACTTTTATTAGAAATATTTATTTTATAGGGACAGATTTTGAAAGCATGGCTTGATGTTACAAGAGGAAAAGAGCCTTATATAAAAAAAGCGCTAAGACATTTTGAAGAAGGATTACAAGATGGAAATGATATCTTTGCTCTGCTTGGTAAGGTAAGGTAAAGTTAGGGTAAGTATTTTGTGTTTTGGAATTTATTTATAATGTATTTGAGAGTCAATAAAATTCAATAGCTCAGAGAAGATAATAATTTTCGTGTTTCTCTTGTCATCTGTCCACTGACAAGAGGACCTGCATTTGTGTAGGACAAGGAGGAATATTTTTCCTGTGCTGAAATTGCTCCTAAAACCTGGAATGGTTTTCTTTATTTCTTTCCTCAAAAAAACATTGACTGTGTGCCTTATATGTGCAAGGTATCACTCTAAGCATTAGGGCTCCCTGAACCAAACATTTTTTTTGCTTTTACAGAGGTAATATCCTAGCATTGGAGACAAGGAATAAATAAAACTGTATCTATTGATCTATCTGTATGTAAGGGAGCTCTGGTGGCCTAGGGATAATGAATTGCACTGTGCCAATGCAGACGTACATGTATTCAATCCACCAGCTGCTCTAGAGGAGAAAGATGATCAGTCTTCTCCCATGTGATTTACTGCCTTTGAAAAGCCTCTGTAGGAACAGCTATGGGTACATTCCACTTTGTTCCACTCAGCAGCAATATATATATAATATATATAGTAGTTGTTAAATCAACTATGACTGATAGCCCTATGAACAACAGTTTGGAACCTTGCCCTGTCCTGAGCTATCTTCACAATCTCTGATATGCTCAAGCTCATTGTTAGAGTCACTGTGTCTTGTTAAGGGTGTTCTTCTCTCTGTCTTATCAACCCTAACTTTTAACTTTTCATTTTTAATTGCTTTTAAGGAGCAATTTATATAATATATATTTTATTATTCTTCGTTACTGTGTACCACTGAATTGGTACCAACTCAGCCGATCTTCCAGTAGGTTTTCAGAGATTTGCCCATCTTTCTCCGCAGAGCACCTGGTGGATTCAAGTTGCTAGCCTTTGGGTTGGCAGCACTTCTTAGCACTAATCCATGAAAGCTCCCTTATGTAGTGCCCTTGGTATTATGCATGTGCCCACATCACTCTTTCTGTTAACTTCCATTGCCAAAACTGTCAGTGGTTTTCTGGCTTTGCCACCAGTACAACTATTATTTAGGCTGATTGGACATAATTTCCCTCTAATGGAATTAGATTACTATAGGAACTAAGCTTTTTACATTTTGACATTTTTCTGACTTTTTTCTTAATCACTTGTAAAAATCTTAATTGGGAATTAGCTTTTTTCCTTAACAAGTCAAGATTAGTTTAAATTCTTTTTCTGACAGAAAACTGTTCCAATTATGTGTTTATACTCTTTTCTAGTTAGTTCAAAAATAGAGCTGCATTAGTCTCAGTCCAGCCTAACAAATATAGTTACTGGTGCTCTGAAATCACATGGGCAATGACGATCTAAAGAGTATTGGATGTGAACACACATTAAGTCTTTGCAACATGACTTCCTCCTTTTCAGTAACAGCTATTAAGGCATATTCTATTTAGGCAAATAAATTTTTTCAAAGTGTCTATATTAATGTCTTCTCTATTATTACCAACTATTTAGAACTTTGATAGTAGTAATTTACTGTGACATGTTCATTGACGTACAGTAAGAGCCAACTCATAGCTGATCATCCAGAGTAGGAGGGTTCTGTAAATCACATGGAAGGAGATTACCCATCTTTCTTCCATGGAACAGCAGTGAATTCGAACTGCCTGCCTTTGTGTTAGCAGTGCAACTTCTTATCTCTAGGCCACCAGAGCTCCCTGCTCAGACAGTCTCAGCATCTTGAGGTGGTTCTCATACTTTAATCCTATGGAAATATAACCTCAGACTGACTTTTAGAATACATTGAGATTTCTTTCTGTGGGGAATATATGTTGAGAGTTCAATGTATATCTCTTTTTTCATGAAGATATATCTGGGCTAAATACATTGTTGTTATGTGCCGTCGAGTCGTTTCCGACTCATAGCGACCCTATGCACAACAGCTCTAAACCCTGCTCTATCCCACGCCAACCGCACCACCTCTGACACACCCATCCCGATTACCCCAGTCACCGAATCAATCCATCTCATAGAGGGTCTTCCCCTCCTGCGCTGTCCCTCCACCCTCCCAAGCATG